AAGACCGAGGCAAAGTGGGGAGTAAACACCTTGGCCTTTCCCTTATCCTTTGTCACAAACGATAGAGATTCTCCTTAGCCCTTATTTTGTTGCTGATATATCTGTAGAAGCATTTTAAATTTTCTTTTATGGCAGCAGCCAGATAAAGATCCAGCTGGGGTTTGGCTCTTCTAATTTTCTCTCTGCATAACCTCATGACATCCATGGAGTTCTCTGGCAAAGTCTGCCCTTACCTCCAGGTCAAGAACTCTGAAACTCTGCCTTTTTTTTTTTTTTTTTTTTTTTTTTTTTCCCTCCCCTGGGTTCCCTCCAGAGTTCTCTGCTCAGCCAGGCTGGTTTTCTTCCCTGCTGGCTCTTCCAGCACATGGGGAAAGCCTGCTCCTGTGCCTTGAAGATTTCTGTCCTAAAGAATGTCCAGCCTTCCTAGAAACCACTATCCTCCATGACTGTCTCCCTAGCGACTCTCCCAACAGGTCTCCTAAACAGGCCCAAATCTGCCCTCTGGAAGTCCAAGGGGGCAGTTCTGCTGATGCCCCTCCTTACTTCTGTGAGAATTGATAACTCTCTCATTTCAGGACCACCGTGCCCAAAGCATCCTCCAATCTTCTCATCACACAACAGTCCTTTTCTCTTGGCAAACCACAGTTCCATTGGGGCACCTTCCCTACTTGGTTCCCTCACCAGCTGCATTAGGAATTTATCTTCCACACACTCCAATAACCTTCTAGACTCCTTTCTCTCTGTGGAATTATATTCCCAGCAGACATCTGGTAAATTGAGTCCCCACAAGAAAAAGGGGCAGCAATCTTGGGACCGTTTTGTGGTTCTGTGTTCCATGAATCCCTAAAATCACATCAACAACTGTGTCAGTCAAAGTAGGAAAAGCAACTGGCACTGAAAAAGACCAGTGCAAATTATTTTGCTCAGTTTTGTTCCTAGGTTAGCAGTCATTTACAAAAATCAGATTTACCAGTTTTAAAATCTTGAAGGACATGTTTCAGATGAAACTGCATGCATTCAGTTAACTTGTTTCCAATGCAAAACCAATCAACAAATTTGTTTTGACAAATTTTCTTCCCTGATTCTTCTATATTCTGGGTAGCTTTATTAGTCAAATATTAGTGCACATTCTAAAAGAAAAATCAAATTCCATTAAAATGCAATTTAGAGAGACGAGAAAGAAATGTATCTATAAATAAAAATACAACTTCCACCACTTAAAAGAGAACATAATGGATAACTGAAAAAAATTTGCAATAAATCATTACATTAAAAAACATTAAAAAATTATTTGCAGATAAATTCCAACAGAGAGGCTCAAACCTTCTGACATTGCACATAACTACAAGAAATTAAAGAAACAGAAAGCAGATGAGCTGGAAGCATGTCCTATGATGTTACCCTGAACTTATTACCCATTGTTAGTACCTTTATAGGGTCAGGAAGGCTAGGGATCTGAAAATCATACTAACTTGGTTAGCTAGACTCTGGAGCTTTTCCAGGTCAATGTCATAATTGACATCTGCATGCAACAAGGTGAGGTTAGCCATGATGCTCTTTGGCTAAACCTATTATGAAAACCTTCAAAAAAGGAGATGACAAACTCTCTCAGGGAAGACCTGCTCCAGTTCTGCACTGCCCTGGAGAGACCTGCCTTCCAAGAGATTCCCATGTGTTAAGACCACTGAGATTCAGTCACATTAAACAAACAAGAAATTTTAAAGTTTTGATTATTTTAATTTGCAACCATATGTGTTTTATTGGCTTCCATAAGTTTTTAAATTCTTTTGTGTTCTGTACCCAAATCAGTCACAACATGCCATTATTTAAATCACTAATGATATTTAGAAATATCACTTAAATCCATTTAGTTGAGACTATAATCCAACATAAACCATATAAACCATCAGAGGTTCTACTTTTTGTCAACCAAGCAGAAGAAAATAGTACACTTGTTAAAAACCAGCTCTTTGACACAAAACCTAACGTCTTGCCTCTCTGCATATTGATTTTCCTCTAGTACAAATCACTCGCCCATGCTCAGACTGTCTGCTTGGGTAATAGGGCAGAAGGGCAGACATGAAATTACTTACAGTCTACCAAATTCTCTCTCCCTGCTGTTAAAACCTGGCCTACAGCTGGCCTACACTTCTGGGTGTCCAAACACCCTGTGACATTTACTTCGGGACACTGGAGATGCTTCTGTGTTATTCCGAAGGCTGACAGTGGTGACCTCAGTTACTTTAAGACAGTTACTTTAAGGAATATATTTACTCAGAGAGACATAAAAAAGTTGAATTTTCTATCACCATCTACTCATACATGTGTCTGGTTTTGTCTGGGAAGTAAAATTAATTTTCTTTCTAGTAGCTGGTACAGCGCTGTGTTTTGGATTTAGGATGAGAGTGATGTTGACAATATCTTAGCAAGCAGGGTTTATACTAAGTCAGGAAGTTTTCAGCTTCTCACATCAACCCACCTGCAAGTAGGCTGTGGGCTGCTGCTCAGGAACTGGCTGGGCATCAGTTGACAGCAACTGTACTGTGCATCACTTGTTTTGTATATTCTAATTATTATTATTATTATTATGCATTCCTTTTCTGTTCTATTAAAACGTCTTAATCTCAACCCACAAATTTTACTTTTTCTCCCCCCTCAGTTCTCTCCCCCATCCCAAGGGATAGGCGGGAGCAAGCAAGCACTTGAGTGGTGTTTAGCTGCCTGCTAAGTTAAACCAGAGCAACCAAATTAGGAGAAAAAACACAGTAAACAAATAAAGAGACATTAATTAGCTGATCGTACTCCAGACATACTCTTACAAATACACAATTTGCAGTAATAAACTATTCAGATACTGTCTAGCTGAAGTCATGAATCAATAGTCTGTAATACCTTCTACTTGGCTGCAAGTTGGTTCTTCACACGAAGTCCTTGGGTTAACTCCATGAACTGCCATATCACATTACAGCAGCCCTGAGGACACGGCAGGGCTGCTTATCTTGGCAAGCAAGAAGCCAATGGGGTGTCCTTTTTACCTATGGGTGTGGTGTAAACACTGAGGCAGAACTGTTTTGGTCGGAACAGACCTCTAAATGTAACAGCTGCCGAACATTTCTTGCTATGGCTTTTCATGCTCACAAACGTGTCTACAGCATAAGTTTTTAGACAGTTTCTGATTTTATAGTATCTAAGGATAGCCCCATCAGAACCAGAGATTTATCCTTTAAGGAAAGGCGCAACTTGCACTGTGACGTGGTGTCAAAAAAACCAGATCTTCCTGGTAAACACACCATATCATTTCTATCCTTTACAATTTGCTGTGGACTTCACTTCCTCACTGCTCACCCCAAAGTACAAACCCATTGCTGGAAACACGCCACGGCCCAGATATGAGCTTCATTCAGCTGTTTGCCAACTGCGCATCTCAACCCATCTCCATGATTACAATCCTGCCTTTGTTAGCCAGAACAAGGGTAACCAGGGACACTCAGGACAGCAACGAGCAGGAGAAAGCCTTGATAGCAACAGAATGTGTTACAAACACACATTGCTGCATGGAGTCAGCAACAAATGTTTATTAGCACCAGCTCATTTTCAGCCCCATAGTCCTTCTTCTCAGGGCACTCCCTCACACCTGAGGTTTGTAGAATACTTGTGCCTTGCAGAGCAAAGAGCTCACCACAATTATGCAAGTTTAAAGGCTTCTGTTCCCAGTTCTTGCCTGAGAGATGATTCACAGCACAGGTAGCTCACATATCCCTTCCCGAGGTCCAGCTGAGTGGTAAAGTAAACGAACTACCATTGGGCAATGCAATTCTGTCAGTGTGGGTGAGCAGCACCCCCTGTGAACACAGCGGATAGCTAAAGTGACCAGGCCTACACCTAACTTTTGCCAAAAAAATGTGCATGCCTTTCACTCACAGCCAGAGAAGGCAGGCAGAGAGCCTGGTATCCAGTTTGGTCGGAAGAGTGAACTCTGATTCCTCAGTGCACCCTGAGCATGGACACAGCACATGGTGCCAAGTTTTGGCAATAGCCTGACCCCAGCTCTCCTCTGCCAGGAAATCGGCAACACACGGAGCAGACATGAGCTATATCAGGTTCACAAAATTACAAAATCATTAGGATTGGAATGGATTTCTGGAGATCATCTAGGCCAACCCCTGACAAGGGAGGGTCACCTTGAGCAGGACCACATCCACATGGGTTTTCAATGCCTCCAGAGAGAGAGACTCCACGAGCTCTATGGGCAGACTGTTCCAGTGCCCCACCATCCTCGTTGTTAATAAGTTCTTAATCATGTTGAAGTGAAACTTATTGTGCTTTAGCTTGTGGCCTTTGCTCCTCATCCTGTTGCCACCGAAGAGTCGGGCATTATCCCCATGACACCCATCCCCGAGACATTCACACGTATTAATGAGCTCTCCTCTTAGTCTTCCCTTCTCCAGACTAAGCAGGCCCAGCTCCCAGTGTCTCCTCAGAAGAGAGATGCTCCAGACCCTTCCTCATCTTTGTGGCCCTCCACTGGACCCTCTCCAGCAGCTCCTTGTCCTTCGTGCATTGAGGAGTCCACTCCCAGCACAAGTACTTGGGACAACCTGTCCTGTCCCTTCTTCCTAACATCCATCCGCTGGTGCTTTTGCGGCAGTGCAGAGGGCCGGGGGCTGCCCATTCCCTGCGCTCCGAGCCGGGCCCGGCCCGGTACCGGGCCCAGGCCCGGTGCGGGTCCCGCTGTCGCTCCAGGGCACGGCTCGGCTCCTCCCGAGGCCGCAGCTCCGTGCGCCGCTCCCCGCGCCCCGGCGGCGTGCCCCGCGCCCGCCGCCCCCGGAGCCCTTCCCCGCACCTGTAGTTGTAGCTGCTGAAGCGCTGGCTCTCCCGCAGCAGGGCGCGGTACAGCCGCAGCACCTGGGCACGGCTGGACGCTGCCATGTTGCCGACACCGAGCCGCTCCTCCCGCGGCGAGGCCCCTTTTCCCCGCCCTCCCGCCGCCCGCGCCGGGCGCAGCCGCGGCGGAGCGGAGCCGCAGGGCGGGCGGTGAGTGGCGGCGGCCGCGGCTCGGCCGGGCCTGGCGCTCGGCGCGGGCGGGGCCGCGCGGGGCGGGCGAGAGCGGGTCCCCGGCCGGGGACGGCCCGCGGGCGGCGGGCTCGGGGCGCTCGGGGCCGGTTCCCGGGTCCCGCCGCGTCGGGCCTGCCCGCAGCTCCGGCGGGGATCCCAAGGCGCGACTGCCCGGGGGTGCCTGCCGGGCTCGGCCGTGCGGCTGTGGAGGGCCCGAGGGCGGGGAGGGGAGGCCCGAGCGACGGGGAAAGCGAAACCAGCGCTCCGATGCTCGGCCGGCGCAGCAGCGCGGTGTGCGCGCCCCGGTGTGCCGCAGGGGGAGGGGGGTGCTGCCGGGGAATGGATGTCGGGGCTGGAAAGGAGCAACAAGTGATGTGTGCAGGGGGTTGCCTCGGAATCGCTGTATACATTCGCAGTCAGAATTCATGTACTGGAGAGGATTCCCCAGAGGCCACGAAGGTGATTTAGAGTCCGGAGCGTCTGTCTTCATGAGGACAGACTGCGGGTGCTGGGCCTGTTCAGTCTGGAGAGCAGAGGACTGAGAGGGGGTCTCATTAATGCATCTGAGTATATCACAGGTGGATTACAAGAGGCTAGCATGTCCAGTGATGCCCAGCAAAAGGACGAGGAGCAGTGGCCATAAACTAGAAACCAAAGTTTCACCTCAATGTGAGAAACAACTTTACATTAAGGATAGCAGAAAAGGTGGAACATGCTGTGCAGGGAGCTTGTGGAGTCTCACTCTCTGGAGACAATGAAAACCCACCTGGATACATTCCTGTGTCACCTGTTAGGAAGGTTGTACTACATGATCTTCAGAGGTGCCTTCCAACCCCAACATTCTGTGATTCTCTGAAATCACTATAGACAATTGCAGTCATTGTACATCTGTGCTAGCGTACCAGGGCCTGTGTTGTTATAGTGATGTTTGAATTGTTCCTCTCTCAATATCTGTTTCTAAGATGATTTCTGTTATTTAAACCACATGTCTTCCTTTGCTGAAATTTTTGCCACTGCAGAATAAACTTAACTTTGTAACTTGCAGCTGTATTTAATACTGGTTTTTGAAGTTTATCAGCCATTTATTTAGTCATAGAATCATTAAAGTTGGAAGAGACTTTAGTCTCCAGTGCATCTGTCCACCCAGCACTGCTACTGTAACCCCTAAACCATCTCACCCAGAGGCACATCCAGGAGTCTCTTGCCCACTTCCAGGGATGGTAACCACCATCTCCCTGGGTAACCTATTCCAATGCTTGACCCCCATAACAATGTATTTTTCCCCGCCTAATATCTAATCTGAATCTCCCCTGTCTCAGTTTAAGGCCCTTTCCTCTGGTCTTCTCACTGCAGTCGCACAGAAGAAATTAGTCCCCACTACTAGAACCTCCTTTCAGGTATCATGACAGGGTTCCTGCTTTTTTCACAGGTTGCTATTTATATGGTAGGTGTTTAAAACAACTGCCATGTAGATATTCCACATGTCTCTGGCAAAAGTGCTTCAATTGCCACTTTTAATTTAACTCATGTTTTATTGCATATGCATTTGAGTATTAACATCAGTTGTACATCTGATGCAATTTACAGTTCATTGCAAAGAACTAAAATAGTTCTGTGCTTTTGGATGTAATTAGTATAGACATGAATTTATTTCAAATTTACCTTCACAGATATGCTGTGTTTTAGCAATCCTTTTAGGCTTTTGAAAACTGAGAGTTTTTGTATGTAGAAAATTTCCTGGATATTTTCTTTATCTCTTTTTTCTAGTTTATCCCAAACTATAAGTATTACAGGAAATGTAGAAAAACATATGCAGCTGCAGTACTGGGATAAGCATCATGCTTCTGAGGCCTTCCCTTATAAGTTACAAACCAGTGTGTTTTGGGTTAGGTCTTGGCATTCAGGACACCCACATAGAGAAATACAAAGAAAGCATGCCTTTCATTTGCCAGTGGGATCAACCAAATTCTCCTTACAGCCCAAGCCATGTTGTTAAAGCAGATTGCCATGCCAGAAGCAAAACCCATCTGGGGTGCTGGTGCTCCCCATCTCTGCAGCTGTTGGTGGCTGGGCAGCACCAGTCATAATACATGTTACAAAAGAACTCTGGCTTTGTGTCTACAGACTTACCTTCTCTGAAAGCAGCAGTGGCCACTCTGCCCTTTTTTATGAGGGTGGGCTTCAGACAGCTTAAAATGATATGGGGCTGTCACATAACAGCCAAACTTAGGTTTGAGAGTTAGCAAATTTATGTGATACCATACTGTTGATGAGTGTGGCAGTTGTTCCATCTAATTTTACAATAGCCCTCAGGTATTATTGCAAATAAAGTTTTCACAGTATAATCCTCAGCTCTAAAAGATGAGGGTGTAATTGGGATGAAAGCATCCAGCAAATTCTGTTTACAAGAACAGTATTAATTTAATGTTTGAAAAGTAATCAGAAATAATTTTTAGATAGCCTCAGATGCTAATTCTGTTCCTGAAACTCCCTAACAGTTTTTGTGAATTTTAATTTTTTTTTTTAAGGTAACCCTGTTTTTTCTTGAAAAAACCTAGAAATATCCTATGTTTAGAATAAGCAGTAAGCCCATACAGTGGATGATCAAATGCAAAGTAAATTTATCAAAGGAGAAAAGTCTTTCCTCTTGTCTCCTTTTTCTAGCTTAACCTTTAATACACTCAAGGACGGTATTTTGTCAGAAAGGAGTCACCTTTGTGCAGTTGGGTTGGCACTGTTAACTAGAAAAATTAATGACTTTCTCCTGCATTTGTTGTTGTGTTTCCTTGGAAATGATGGGTTATGGTCCCAGAAGTTGTATCATTCTTCAGGAAGTGGACAGTGCTGTGGCTGGGATACAGGTGGTTCTGCTGGCCTTTGTTTATGTGCACCACTGCAAGCCTGCAGGGCATTCAAAGGACAGGCACAGCCCAAATGACCATTGCATGTCCTGTGACACTGGAGCCTCTGTATGGGGAATCAGCAGTAACCACTTCATTAACTGCCTCCTCACTCCTGAGGGGAAAACTACACCCGGATTTAGCGTGGGTGTTCATTTGTACAGAAGTCTTTGCTTTCAGCCTTTGGTCTGGGAAGGAACGTGGTATGTGCCTTGCCTTTCTGCATCTCTTGGCATAAATAAGCGCTTTGAGAGGTTATAATGGTATCAGTACCTGGAATACTTAACTGTGTAGCTTCTAAAACAGGGGAGGGAGGGAAGGAATTTGGATGAAGTACCTGCAGGACCTGTGGACTGGAGTGGAAAAGAAGAGCTGTTCTACTCTATGGGACGTATTCGATGTCTTGTTGTCTGTTGGTGAATTGTTCCCTGTGGTGCATTATTCCAGCTTCATGACATGGCACTGAACACTTCCAGCGCTTTCCTGGTATGCTGCTGTTGGTTTCCATTATTTTTCTTTGGGGATCAGAACGATAATTGATAGTTATGTGATATTATAATCTCTTTTAGTATTTGTTTTTCAGTTTGTGAAAACATGCTATTTTTTCCATGCAGCAGAGGTGTGGTGTTTATTTTCTTGTCTTAGTTGCTTGGTAGGGTCGTGCACAGTGAGATCCTACATAGTGTAGAGTAGGACCTTTTAAAGAAGGATTATAAATCACAAGAATTTTGGGATTTCAGTGACAAATGTAACAAACTGTAATTTAACATGTAACAAATGTAACAAACATTAACATTTAACAAATGTAACAAACTGTTCTGTATGGTGAATTAAGATTGCCACAGTATCAACAGGAGGCCTTGACTGACTGTGCTATTTAAATAAATTGTATTTCATTGGTTGCCTGGTAGAAAAGATCATTTTTATTTAAAAGGAGAAGCTTCGGTATTTCAAATCCAGGTATACTTCCAAATTCTTTGTGCATTTAAAAAAATTCTACCTGCAAGTTCAGAGGGAAGAAAATAATGGTGACAAAACTCTTCTCTCAGCTTTTTGTGAGTTAGCCCATCTCTTTCTAAACTGAATTGCAGAATGTTGTGTATTGTTTAAAGTAAGATTGTAAGAACAGTGATAATAGGAAAACAAAAATGCAACCATTAGTGCATTTCCTGTTGCAATACTTGGTCTTCTAAGGGAACATCTGTTTTACCACTGTACCTAAACCTTTCCTGGTTCATGATCTCTTGTGCTGCAAGCATCAGACTAAAAGAAACACTGAATTTTGTTTTCCTTCTTGGCCACAGTTTTATTTGTTTTCCTTCTTGGCCACTTTCTAATTTCCTGTGGTGCTTAAGTCCTCCAGAGGACTTCATGGGCATTGTGTTACATGACAGTTAAGCAACTGGACAGTTCAGCAGTCATAGGATAACTTCTGGATCAACGAAAGGCAGTGTTATACAGTGTATGGGTTTTGAAAGACGCTCTTAGTGGCCATATGTTGGTAAATTTGTTCGAAATGCTTGAAATAAAAGATACTGTAAAAGTCAGAATTAAAAGGATAATTTTGTGTTATAGGCAAAAGAATAACTAATAGGGGATTAAAATTACCGGTAATGCTTAAATAGCTCAGTGTGTAATAGTTGCATCAACCACAAATGACACTTCTAAACACTTCTAACCTTAATGCTGATGAAAAGAACCCAACAAAAAAATTAACATATTTTTACTGTGTGTTTTTTTATCATCCTGAAATCTTGCTCAGAAATTTAATAATGAAAAGCATAAAGGGCAGGATTTATGAAGTGTTCTCATCCATGACCTCATAAATTCTGAAATGATTTCTTTGCTGTGCTTTCCACTGTTTTATCAAATTTAGCCTTAAATAACTTCTCTTTCAGTGGGAAAATATATTCTACGTTATATTGTATTGCTGTTAAGAAATGTTTTGTGATGCTCATCCTATGCCGCCCTCTTCCCTGAGTTCATCCCACTTTTTCATTTATGCCCCTTTAGAGTGTAATCCTTCTCCCTCCTCTGTGATTTACTCTATCATTGTATTTCTCAGTAGCTGTCAGCCAG